CAATTTATTTATTTATTCATTCATTTTCCAAACATTTAATCATTCATGCCGCACATTCTTTCTATCGTGTAGTATCGTATTTTATTGTTGTGTAAAATACTATCGTATTTTTATTGGTTTTAACCTTAAATTTGAGAATGTCGCAACTCTTAATTACAAGCTGGATTTATCCAACAGCTTAACACTTATTAATGTGTCAGTATTATCATTATAGACATAATATTCATCGTTATCGTCATAGCGATGTTCATTATTACTATTCTCACACCAACATCGCCATCATATGCTTATCATTTCCGACAAGTATTTGACGTCAGTTATGTGGGATTTATATATTCAGACATACCGCAATTAATATTACACCGAAAATGAACTTTGAACTTTAGCTTTCAACAATAAGAGGATAAAAGATAGAAGAGTTTCAATGTTCTTGATCTCGCTCCAGAGGAAGAGAAGGAAAATTGTAAAGCTTTTTTTTAATCGGACAAGTACTCAATTTAGAATCGAAAACCATAGCAATTTCCACTTCCCTTGCGTTACTGAAAGAGTTTATTTGTAGCTAATTTTAGTTGAAACTAATGTTTTTGTTTCTGTCATTATACTTGTTACCTTCATTATTCATAATCAATCAATATATAAGCTTGAAAACGTAAGGTAAAACGATTAAAGTAAAACGAAACAACCACAATCTTTTCAAAGAAATATTATTTTATAACCCAAATCAGTATTTCGAAACAAATAGTTCATTTCATTACATTTTCGCATTTTATCGTAATCGGCTTTTCTGTCGCCAGGAAGTACAAAGAATGATTATTATTTAGCAATCGTGAAAAGCTGAAGAAACCGACGGAGACATTCATATTACATTTTGAATTCAATGAAATGATCAGTAATTTAAAACATGGTTTATTTGAATGCCAAAAATTTGGGATTATAGTGGTTTATTATAGTAGATTATAGATTGTAGTAGTTTCTAGCATTTCAATTCAGTTTACCAATTCCAATGTTTTGAGCTGATTAATTTCAACAACACCAAACATCGAAAAAATGCTATTAAAACTTGATGCTTTATATTATCACTAAGCGAATTCCTGTATGAAAGGAAAAACATAATCCTCTTGCGTCCCATTTTTTGAACTTCGATTTTCCGGTCAGTATATTAGAGTGAATAATGGTTTTGTCAAAGTGATATTTCATTTTGACCATTTATATAAGCGCAGAAAGTGGGGGATGGAAAAAGGAAGAAGTGAGTGCTATGTTCTATTTGATTAGGAAGAAGCATCCGCAATTTCGAATAGTCCTCAAGGTAATGCTTTCATGGGAAAAGAAAAGCACTTTGTCATGCCCATTCGATCATCCTTAATTTAAGGCTTCTCACTATTTAAATACAGGAAAGAGAATAAGTAAATAGACGAAAGTAATGTTGAAAATGAACCACTCCAAATTTGCTTAAAATGTGACTAACTAAAACATTGAGATCCATTTAATTTTGCTAACGCATTCACTCAACATTTCTCATTCACAAATCCCATAAGAACAATTCGTTAAAATTTGCGTATGGTTAAGTGGAAAAGTAAGTAGAAGATAGAAACGCGAAATGATTTCATGCTGAATGAGCTCTTTTCCTGATAAGATGTTAGGAATAAGAGGCTATCAGATTTACAGGTTTGAACAATTTGATTCAGTCCCAACAAAAAAGTGATATTAGCAAATTGAAATTAGTGCCAATATAATCTTTCTTTGTTTGCCCTTAAATAGTTGAAGTGAGCTGAGAAATGATCAACTATGCAAAATAGACACTTCTTGAAAAGTGCTAATTATGAGGCGCAGTCACAC